ATCTAGTAATATGATTTTATATATGAAATAAATTATTATATATGAAATCATATTACTAGATTGCATTGGTATCGAAGGAACTAGATTCTGTTATGAAATATCACTTACTCGAACCGTCCTGACTGCATAGCTCAGTTGGCAGAGCATTGGGCTAGTATTCCAAAGGTCGTAGGTTCGATTCCCACCGTGGCCGGGCATATTTTTCAAGCTCGCTCGGTGTGGATATGCACTCAGAGTGACATCACAAACATTATATTCACCTGAGTACACAACACCAACGCAGAAAAAAAATATATTACTAGATTACATTGGCATTGAAGGAACTAGATTTTGTTCCGAAATATCACTTACTCGAACCATCCTGACCGCGTAGCTCAGTTGGCATCTGGAGCATTGGGCTAGTATTCCAAAGGTCATATTTTAGTTCCATTTTCTTGTATTATAATAACATTTTTGCTATTATGGGACATTGAGCTTTATAAATAAAAACTTTTGGAAGATGGCTTTCACTGCATGACAGACAGCCTACTTTTGGTCTGTTTATATGAGGGGGTAATGGGGGGTACCAATCCTGAAGCACGAGAAATAATATGCAGCTATCTTGAAACATGAAAAATAAAAGAAGGAAGTCCTGAAGCATGTATAATAACAAATTTATTGCGAATCTGAAATGTAAAGGGAACATGAAATGTAAGCAACAACCATACAGTCCATACTTAGAGGTCTTAAAAGTGAATATAAACAGTCCGTACTAGGCGGGGTGTTCATCTGTTTGTTTACAATTGCGTCGATGTTCATGATTTATAAAATTTGAAACCTGCGTTCCCCAATCAAAACATAGCTAAAATCCAGAACTAAATTTAATTTAATAGAATATATTGTCCAGAAACGAGAAATAACCGTCTTAAATACTGCTGAAAACGGAGAACGGGAATTGAATACACCGCAGGCACGATACACGAGTCGTACTCGACATCCGACATCCATGTCGGGATCGAAAGACGTTTAATAAAAAGATGACTGAACGAAGAACGAATAATTAAATTACCCCAATACGGAACACGAAAATATCCCATTACCCCCCTCTTATATGGAGTTAACCCAACCTAGATTAGCTATATTTCTTTAATTGTTGAACAATCTCTTTGCGTGTTGAACAATCTCCAGTGGCTTTTCATTGACCATCACTGGATCGAATTGGGGATTGGTACTGGCAAATGAGATCCTGAGCTTTTTTCATTTTGCCTCGTTCAGTTGGAATTTATTAGCATGAGCTTTATCTGAAACCTCTGTCACTGCTTTTCAGAACGTGCTCGCATTGCCTCTTTCCACACACTCTGACAGTAGCAGTGGCGGAAACTTTGCAAAATATTAGGGGGGGGGAGGGCGAGTGCCAAAGGTGCCAGGTGGTATGGGGAATGCTCCCCCAGAAATATTTTAAAATTTGGATCCCTGAAATGGCATTTACAGTACAGCATTCTGAGACACATTTTGTAAGAAATTTCTGCATTTTGTTATAAATCATATGCTAAGCATAAAAAAACGACATTTCATAGAAAATATTCTAGATGATTTGTTAATGGAATTGCAAGGTGGTTTAACTCTTTCTCTCGGCAAGTCCCACGCATGTCAACTTCTAGAAGCTGACAACTTTGTATGTTTATATCTTCGGTTCAGTGCATGCTATGAAGACAATACCACCATTCGATTCAGTGAAACAATATCAATTCCTCACGATAGTTTTAGTCATTGCCAACATTGTAGCGATTTATGGCCTTTGAAAGTCAAGAGAAATCGTATACTATCAAATTACGCAATTGTCTGAACCTAACTTCGGCCCCTTCGGACGTATCTTTTTTGTAATAGTCGTGTTCGAATCGCGCTCAAAAACACTATTTACAGTGTCATTTTCGAGCCTGTACATATCTTCCAATTTGCATCTTTATCACGGTATTTCCATTTCTGGTCCGACTGTGAGCTAATCCCAACCGGGAATACAATTTCAAAACGTCAAAACAATGCAACGTTTCTGTTGTACGTAAGCAGCGAGTCAAATTGGCGGATGACTGCAAATCAGAATGGAGGGATATTCCTGTAGGTGTCCCCCAGAGGACCAAGTTGGGGCCGTGGCTTTTTCTACTAATGATCGATGACATTGACGTCGCTAACACTGACATGTGGAAGTTTGTAGACGACACCACTACTGTACAGTGGCGGAAACTAGGGGGCAAGGTGGTGGTGGTGGTGGTGGGTATGATTGCCCCCCCCCCCAATAATTTTAGCTAGCTTTCATTTCGAAAAATGTAACTCGTGCCACGCGCTATACTTGGCCAATAAAGAGCTCCCGTAGCCGGAAGACGTCAAAAATCATGCGTATAGGTGCACTTTTACCTTTAGAATCGATTTCTGGCATTTCCAGATTCGTGTGTTTAAGGAAGTCTATGGTCCAACATTCGATCTTATGAGGGATGTTTAATGTCGCGAGTTTGTCATGATCGATTAGATCAGAAGCTTTGGGAAAATCGAAGAGGACAACTCTTGTGGTGGCGCCATTTCTGTTAGTAGCTATCTTTTGTCCATAGCGAAAGTTGTGGGGACATGGCTCCGAAATGGTTTTTCTTGATCTTGGCCAAAATCGCTGGTTTCACATGTTCCTCGACGAAAAATTTTTCCGCAATTTTTGACATAATAGGTGTCAGTGAAATTTGACTCAGCTCTTTGTTTATGTCCTTTGGTGGGTTTTTCTTTGGGATTTGCACTATGTCAGCTGTTTTCCAGGAAGGAGGGAGGCAACCTTTGCCATACGAGTTGTTAAGGATGTCTGAAACAGGGTTAGCCAATATTTTAGATCAGCGTTCTTTTTGAGCAACCATTCCGGGATATTATCAGGGCTTGTGCTTTGGTGGAGTTCAAAGTCGTTAACTTCTTATAATATTTTTTGTGTGAATATAATGTTTTTGATGTTACTCTGGGTATATATCCACACCGGGCAGGCTGAAAAGTTAGCTTGACCACAGTGGGAATCGAACCCGCGACCTTTGGGATACTAGTCCGATGCTCTGCCAACTGAGAATACAATATATATGATTCAAAACAAGACGCAGGTTGAGGCTGTACATTTTCGATATATATATATTGTATTCTCAAGATGTCTTGTCTTTTCGGAATTTGTTTTTACGTTACTTTTTTAAATTGTCGGCTGGTCATGGTTTTCGATTCTTATAAACTGAGTAGGATGAAACTATCAGTGACGTCACCACAGAGTCCTTAATTAACCGGGCCGTGTACTGACTGGAAGTTGGATAGAAGTGGCACGAAGTCGCTCATTGGAGATAGGAAGACATCGTTGATGTTATTCGCCAGTTCTAGTAACATGTCGTGTGCTTCTAGCTGATGTTGCAACTTGGTGGAATCGTACTGCCTTTCTGAAGCAGATGTCATGCCGCTTAGCTTTTTAACCTCCTTCCACCATAGGGAAGGCTTGCACTCATTCAAATGGTTGACCTTAGCTTTATAGTACTTTTACAAGCAAATCTTTCGTTCTCCGTTAACGCTGTTTCTCAGAAGTCAAAAGTGACCATATCACCATTTGCTAATGCGCACTGGCGTCTTTTAATAAGCTTCTTAAGTGTTGGGTTCATCCAGGGTGGTTAGCTTGAATGGATGGTTTTCGATCGTAGTATCAAGTAGTGAGACTTTCTCCGCGCAGGTCTCCACAGTCCCGAGGAGGCTTGGTGGACACGTTGTATTGGTTGGACTTCAACACTTGCATAAATTCTGAAGGTTAGTTAGAATTAAGTCTAGTTTGTTGGAACCTCTGGTTGCAAACGGTATGATTTGCTTCAAATTAAAAATGTGGTTTAGTTTATTGATGACATGTCTGGGATGACTGAAATCGCCGAGCATAATTACTCCACAATAGGCGTACTGGGATTCAATTGATGCGAGTTTCTCAATAAAATAATTAAGCATTGATGCATTTTCTGCGCGAGGCGGATTGTAAAGCATTTCCCTTGGGAGACGAGTTGGCTGGATTTTAACCCACAGAACTTCAAGAACTGGGTCAAGTAAGTCATGAGGTACGGAATATTTGATGGAATACTGCATTTGTTTCCTGTTACTGATCTCAGTTGACTTAGCCATTGGGGTAATATTGATTCAGTTTGCTGGGCTCCTTAGCGGACTTGGAAAGGACGATGTTGTTGTCGCACGGATGATCGTTCTCGGTTGTTGAATTGTTCTTATTGTGTAGCGACGTCGAGTTTCCCTCGATTTCACCAATTTTCCAGCCCGCCTTCCACGATATATTAAATGGCCAAATCTTTTTGAAAAGATCTCCATGAGGGTAACTAGCTCGATTGTTTGCCGTGATGCGTAGCCTGCGAACAGGCTCTCAAGCTGAATTGAGAGCCTGCATCGATGACTAATAAATTTGAATATCTGCGTCTCAAATTGTGACGCGAAATTCTCATTGGTCAGATGCTATAATTTATATGCTTCCGCTGAGCTCTATATATGTTAACTGCTGAAGCACTAGCCACTATGCATAAAAAACACATTAACCGATCAAATTGGTCTTGGCCATCTTATCTCAAAGCACGAAATGTTCTGTTTTGAGAAAACAGTATTTAAAACTTTGCTTGAACATCTTATATTTCGAAAAACAGTATAAACTGTACGGTCTAAATTTAGTTTGCACGAAAGTTGTAAACAACACCATATAAGGATAGACATTCCATATTTGGAAAAACGAACGTTACGGGGCAGATATTCAAATTTATTAGTCATCGATGCAGGCTCTCAATTCAGCTTTGAGAGCCTGTTCGCAGGCTATGATGCGTTGAATTGGGATACTTACTGAATACCTACTGTAGTGATTGTCCAATTGTACCACAATCGGAAATTACCGATTATTCAACAATCGACTCAATATATCAATACCGATTTTATTATGACGTCATAATGTCAGTCGACTGAGTAAAGTGACGTCATTCATTTCGATTATTAAGGACATTGGCAACCAAAATTTTTATTGCTTATATCTATTAGGTATACTTACGGAATACTTAATTTTATATTTTGGCCGGTTTGTCGCGTTTAGTTGTTGAGAAAATGTAATACAAAGTTCAACAGTTGTCCGCCATTTTGAAAATAAACATTTATGCCACAGCATACATTATCTGACGTCATTAGCTGGGTAAAGACAATTTCATGACTATAAAACAATACCGAGTATTACCACGAGTAGTGCACTTTGAGCCAAAAGGCCCAAAACCAAAGGCAGACAAGTTTTACCAAGTATGTAACTTGTTTGTAACACTATTTCACATAGTATATATCCTAATCCGTGTTAAATAAACGCAGAAATTCGAGTGTAACAAGGCAAACACTAATGCAATATTTTTTAATGACTAGAAGTTACTATCGCAAGGAAAGTGCTGCCTCACCCCAAGGGGTCAAAGGCAGCATGCACAATTTGCCTGAATAAGGGGTTGTTTATATGATCCCGCTTTGCCATTACTCTCATGATGTTTTTATATCATTATGTCAAACTAAAACCACCCCCAAATACATAAAGAATACATAAAGGAAACTAAGTAAGTTATACTTTATAATTTAAAGTAAATTTGTAATGCAAAATATAATGAAATTAAAAAATAAATAAATACCCCACAGAGCCTGGCCTCCTGTGGTTTTATATGAGTACCTCCAATGCTTATAACTTCTTGCTTTTGAAACTAGCCATAGCAACAAGTCATGCGATGCAAGTTTTTAAAGATTTGTATCATTCAAATAGATGCAAGATTATCAGCATAAGCATAGCAGAGAGGGCATAGCATGACGAGTTGCTATGACTAGCTTGCCACTGAATACTGTACAATATTATATATTTATATAGAGAATAATACATGGGTGCACGGAACACAAGAAATAAATCTGATATTTCCAAGCATTCATGTATTTTTCTATTTACTATATAAAGGACAGTCTTTGAAAAGCGATATAATTTT